GGCCCTAGGCCTCGCCGGAGACATGTCCCCGCCCGGGCCCCGAGCGCCGGCTCCCACTTCAGCCTCTCTGGCCTCCTCCTCTGCGGTAGCTTCGTAAAGGCTCCGTGTTTGCTTTCTTCTTAAAGGGCTCAAGCCGAACTGCTCTGCTGTTGCAGGGGCTTGTGCTTGTAGGTAATTGCTCGAAGTTAGCTGCCTCGGCTCGCCTCTCCCTGGCAGGGGGTTTCCGTCCCGAAGCAGCTGGACAGCTAAGCTGTGAGGCAAGCCGGTATTTGAGGATCAGCCTGGGCTAGAAGTGGCTGCTGTGTGCCCAAAGGGGCTCTCGGAGGGGGGATCTGGCGGCCTTTTCTAGTTGCTGGAAATGAGACTTTTTCCCCTGTACCCGGTTTTCGCTACAAAGACTGACTGATTTTTCTATTTTTAATATGTCAGCGAGGTGTCTGGCATACAGATACTTCTCCAACATGATGATTGCGTTATCTGTTTTATAATTTGTATAGTTTGTCATTTTATCCTGCGGTGAAGGTTAGTTGTCCCAAACTGAATGGTCTTGAAGGGTGAAGGCTTGCTTTCTGACACCTGAAAAATTTAGCTTTGCTTTCCTGAATGGTAGCTAAAAAAGTGTCCTGAAGCTTTCAATTTGCATCAGTTCAAAGTTTCCGGGCATTAGGAAAGTGGTTCTATAGTGCCGTGAGCTCTCAGATTTCCCCGGGAGGGTAAAATTTGCCGAGTGAGTTAAACCTGTGAAAATACATGACCTATTTTTGCATGAAGGGTGTTTGGTGGGTGGTCAGGGCTAATAATCTGCATTAATAGTGTTAGTGAGTGTGACGCGTAAGCATTAACCACAGTAATTTAGATTATTTTAGTGGTGGCATAGAACATTCTGGGTCAGTGCCTCATACTGGACTGTTTGTTCTGTTTGATGATGGCTGTGTGTGTGCCTATCCAAGACACTTTATTGTCTTGGAATTGAATTTTCTAATAGCACTGGTGTTGCAGTGTGGCTGACACTTGCTCTGTTAGCTTTTTCAGGTAAAACCTAGTGCTTACACGTGTGATGACTAGTTATGATACTTAGCCTTGGTGACTGGAGGACTGGGTTCTGATGTCCTTTACTTCTACTTCCTGTATATAAAGTATTTGTAGACAAGATGCTTCAGGGTGAAGTATTCCAGGCTTGGTCTCTGCCAAGGAGATGACTTTTAAGGTTTTTTTTTTTGGGGGGGGGGTCCTAGCAAAGTTGCAGGCTTTGCTTGCTTGCCTGAAAAGCAGTTGTGGGGAGTTCTTCGAGCAACCAGACAGGCCTTGGCTGTCAAAGGACCCACCTGATAATGTGAACTGGAAAGAGTCCTTTCCAGCATGCTTTTCTGGGTGGCCCAGTGTTGACTTGGTAGCTACGTATGTGAAAATTCAGGTGGAATGTATGGCAGACTGGCATTAGAATAGGGCAGTAGTGAAAACTGCATGTGTCTGAAGGCTGTCTATCTTACTAACTTTGAGGAGCAGGAACACTGGACAGACAGTAAGTCTGTTAGGTTTTTTCCTCTTTCAAAGTAACTATTTTATTTTAAAACATATAGTGAAATGAGATAAAAAAATTTGCTGGATGTTTGCAGATTTGTGTAGTTTGCTACTGTCTAGAATGGCCAAGATCACTGTCTTTTTTTTTTTTTTTTTTTTTTTTTTTAGTCATTAAAAATTTAGAAACATTCCCCCCCACTATAACTTTTATAATTTAACAATGTAGACAATATCATTCTTAAATATATTTAAGCATGAAGGAAAGGCAGAATCTAGTTCTACATGTATTGTTATCATGCATTTATGTTTTAACTTACAGTTTCTCAAGATCAGTTTCCTACATCCTTTGGCTGTACCCATGTAAGCAGACCCCAGCAGATTCAGTCTAGTTTTATGAGGATGCAGTTAGGATTGGACCTTGTAATCGGTAATTTCAGGGGAAGATCGCACTTCCTGTCAGGAAGAAATACTGGGTATGTTTTTTCTTTGGCCCTTACTGCAGGTCGTCTTATTTTAGTTGCATTAGAAATCATGTCGTTGAATGCCAAGCACATATACTTATTTACCTACTGGGCAAAAAACTTTCCCCAGTTTTTTTATCATCTTGGCCATTGGAACTTAGTTCTGCAGTCACGCTGAATACATTCGGTCTGTGTGTGTTCAGAGTCCTGCTGCAGTGATCATTTCCCTAGTCTGTTGGGTTGGCCTTTCTGTGTCTTTTCACTTGTTCCCCTTTTCTTGTTCATCGGATGTCTCCTTTGCTTTTCAAGACCCAGTCCGGCCTGTTACTATGAGACTTACTGTTTCAGTACTTTCTCGTCTGATGAGGCCATGGTGGATACAAGCCGCAATGGTCTGTCTCTTGTGTTTTCAGACAACTGTCTTCACCATTCTCGCCTCTTATGCAGTAGCAACTGTACTGCTCTGACTACAGCAAGGCAGCTGGTGTTTTTCAACTCTGGTTCTTGCTGGTCAATCGTGTCTTAAATTCTGATGGTAACAAACATTAAATAGGATTTTGATGAGACTTAGTTTACAAGAAGTTTTAGAATGTCTTTTAAATTGATGGCCTGTGCTGTCTGCATTTGTGGTTCGTGTTGCGTCTAAAGAAGACAGTTTTGAAAAAGTGAGTAGATTTCTTTTTGCCATTTTGCCCCCGGTTGCTCATTAAACTGCTTTGAGATGCTTAGTGAGGACTTTCTTCTGAATTTATCAGCAGCTAAGTTTTTGGCAACTTAATTCTCAGCTCAGTAAGAGTACTTTGTTGCAGTACTAGTGATGGTTGAGAAGATTTTTGAAATTTGATAAAGTAGGAAAACTTTTTTTTCTTGTCCACAACTAAAAGTGAGCCATACAAAATGAGCTCTGACATGTTGGTATTTCTTGCTATTGCAACTGGTCAAGGTAATTCGCTAACTACATGTACTGTTTCTTTCCCATAAATAAAAAGTAGATTGTTTAATAAGAGATGTTTAACAATTTTTTTTGTTAAACTTCAATAGCTACTAACCATTGAGAACTGGTTTTGAGCAAAACCAAGCAAATTAGCCTGATTTTTTAAGAATAAAGGTTGACTCAGCAGCTTGTTTTAACTTGCTTTAGAATAATAATGAATTAGCCCTACTGAAACAGTAGCACATTGTAATGTATATGTTAGTCCAGCTCTGAAAGATGCAGAGCACAGTTAACTGCTTGATATACTATAGCGTTCTTATTTTTTTCTGTCCCTTGATACGTGGCTGTGGAAGGTTGCTTTGATGCTTCATGTGACTGAACTATGTTTTGTTGGTAGAGACAATGTCAAACGTGTAGACAATTAGCAGTGTGCAGAAAGAAATTAGTTTTCTGTCCTTTTGTGAAACTTGTATGCTGGGGCATTGCCTTGGTGCCAGTGTATTGCCAGATGAGATCTAGCTGGAGCATCAGTTGCAGGCCCTTGGGAGGTAAAAAGCCTGACTTTCTCCTTCAGTGTATTCTGTAAATGAAGTCTACCCTGTTGCTGGTCTGCCTTGTGTCCCTAATTGTTGCTATGACAGCTCTTTTAATAACTCCATTTTCTGTGGAGTGTCAGTTAAAATTATATGAGGAATGGTAAAATTAGGAAAATTAACCTTTTACAAAGAATGGATGTCATATGTTTCTAGTATTTGTTTTTAAATATTTTACTGGCTGTTAGTAAAAGATAGTGTCTAAATGCTCAGGACCATTCTTTGAGTGTTCAGTCCTAAACTGCTGAGACTGAATGCAGTCCTCTCCAACAACTTTAAAATGTTAGTCTGGAACATTCCCCAAAACAGCGTGGAAGAAGAAAAGTGTAAAGTTCAATAAAAATAGTAATAGCTTGTCTGGTTAGATAGCTGAAGGAGCTCCAAATGATTTCCTCTGTCTGGTTGCACTCTAGGGAATTATCTCTGTTTTAAATATGCTTCCCCCTTTCTCCCCACCCTTGCAAAGATGACAAAGCATGTTTTCCTTTGAATTAGCATTACAAGAGCTGCTATGATTAGAAACAAGAGACCATTGGTGTTGTGTATAAGTTACTGACAATGCTTAAACAATTAATATTTTGAAGTCCCATTAGCACTTTTCACCATTTGCTTATCTGAGTACCAAGGCTGGAATAATAGAATAAGTTATGTCTCATTTCTGAATTGGAAGAAATGAGGCATTATTTCATGATGTAAACATATTGAAATGTTTCAACAAGAGCACTCTAACTTTGTTTACATAATTTCTATAGTATTACACCTTTAAATGATGACTGCGTAATTGTGATTATAGGTATGAGATGAAATGAGCATTTATCTTTAATGTAAGCATAGATGGTAGGTATGTTCAGCTGGGGGATTCCTTTTATAACTGCCATTTATTTTGAAAAAGAGGTCAATTCCTACCCTGTCTGGGAATACCTGTTAAAGATTTTATTCTTGCTCTGAAGTAGAAGTAGCTGTAAAATCCTCAGAGAGGGGAGGTGGGTTTCTGAAGAAGTTATGGTGTCAATTGGCTTTCCGTGTTCTACCCGGAAGGGGATGTGAGCTCAGCATTGCAGTTAAAACAGTGCGTGTCACATTTATTCTTGTTTTTTAACACTGGCATTTTACAAATGTTAAAAATTTACGGGGCTTTTTAAACTAGTTTTGTTGAAGTGGGATTCTCTGAAAATCCAGGGATTTCCCAGGACAGAATACAGACTTGACCATAGTGGTTAGTTCAGTAGTTTATTTTGAAGCTGTTTCACCCTTAAACTTCTCAGTCCTGCTGCTTTGCATATTTTCTCAGACAGTGAACACAAGACCAGTTTGATTTGAACCTGACCAGTTGCCAGCAGGAGGAGATAAACTCATCTCTCTGCTTGCTTACTTTCCATTAAATCCCTTCCTGCATCAAGTGGCCTGTATGATGTACTTTCTGTGCCTCAGTTGGAAGAATTTTTGATAATCAGAAATGTTAAATAGCAAGAACTGTTTTTTTTATTTTGCAGGTGGAAATAGTGCTATGTTTATTCGGATGAGGGGTAATACGGCCTGATTAGAAGTTCACAAGTACCTGTTGTCTATGCCATTGGTGTCTAAAATGCTTAATTCAGTATCCTATTGCAGTTGGAGTTTTTGGGTAGGAGGACGAGCTTTACACATTTTCTTTTGAAGAATGTTCATGAATTTGGGGGCTTACTTTGAAAAGTATTACCTGCTTAAATGCAGCTTTGCTTTTGTTAGTGTGATTTTTATTTTATTTTTTATGTCTTGTTCCTCTCTTCCCTTAATCCCATGCTTCTGGGAGGAACAGGGTGATCCTGGTTCTATTTTAATCAAATCTGTTTGTGTCAGAATGCTACAATTTCATAAATATCTCTATTTTAAGATCGTGTATTCTTGTTCCTCGGTGTATTTTTGCAATTCTAAGAAATAACTGTACTCAACACTTCTGCTGGTGCCTCTGAGGCAGTGTAGGTCAGGCTGTCTGCTGTGATGTAAGGGAACGAACTTGAGCAGGAAGTTTGAATTGCTACATATCCTGTAGGATGCTCCACATTTCCACTCTTCCTGCCAGTGCTGTCAGACAAGGCCAAGTAGAAAATACTCTAGAAGTTGATCGTGAAATTCTTGCCACAGCTAACCAGCTGATTATGAAACAGTGCCTCAGACTTGGGATGATCTCTTTCATAGCTCTTAATTGGTACTGAAAGCAATGGGAAAGGACATGCCTGAAGTTCCCAGTCATCCTGTATTCAGCATTTGGCTTTCTAGGCTGCGTGGATAAGTTAAAAATCTGGTGGTGTACATACTTTAGGAAAGAAGTGTCTAACCTGTGTAACTGTCGAAAGAGTCATTGCTTTAAAGTTCTGCTGATCATCAAAATGATCTTGGAACTGTTTGACTTTGAGACATGGTGAAGCCTTGCTTGTTTTTGCTGTTCTAACAGCTGCTGCTGCAGGCTGAGGAGCGATGTCTCTGGTGAGTCTCGGATCCTTTCTTCTATGTGAGGCCTGGCACCTCTTCACTTAAGCCTTTGCATTCCGTGTCTGTTTTAATAACTCAAAACCTTGTTTATTTTCAGTTTTACCAAATGCTGTAGTATTTTATAGCGTTGTATTGTCTTACTTTTCTGAAGCATATGTAATGATTTTTGTGATATCTTAAAAACAATAGGGTCAGTAATAATGATATGTATTCCTTATCTACTGAAGGAACTATTTGTACTTGAAATTGCATCCGTATTTTTTTCCCCCCATTATGCCAAGTGTTTTATTTTTTTTCCCCAGTATATCTTGGCATATTTGTTACTGATAGATATCTTAATTTTTAATGAATTCTATGTTTGATTGAGGTAGCTAACCTCTTTTAACATACTTGAAAGAAAAATACTTTTTTATAGTTTATATACTCAAATTAGTTTTTCTGATCGCAATGCTAACACATTGAAATTTCATTAACTTTGTAAAGTAAAATCATGTACTATGGAAATCTTAAATCTTGTGATTTAATGTCTCAGAGATGTAATCTGATGATACAGACAATGAAATGGGAATGATTTATTACAGTTCATTTATTGCTTACATGTAATTTTAAAATTCTTGTGGAATTGTTTTGTGTGAATATAATTTATATTGTTTTGATAAGATGATATTTCTTTGTAATGCTAGGCTAGGAGAATAAGGCTTTATTTTAAGTTTTCACTCTTACAGAGTTTTCTTTTTCAAAGTCAACATTTTTTTTTCTAAATGGAGTACTCTGCAGTAGTTGTGTTAAACATAATTTACCCTTGCTGTGTGTGTACAAGCTTTTAGTACTAGTGCCTTGCCTTATGGTCTTACCGTGACATACTGCATTCTCTGTTTTGCACTTCATGCTTGCATTAATTCGACTTGCATGTGTGACTAAAACTTTGAAATAAGTCTTATTTCTTTATGTTGGTTTGAAGGTCTGGACTTTAAATAGTATTGGTCTTGTGTCTTTCAGTTGGCAGTTGCCCTACTACAGCTTCTTAAAGTATTCTTGAGAAGATTACGAGTTAGCAATAATGAGACCAAAGGCAAACTTCACGTTTCTGTTAATGTTTCTAAGCTCTTCTATTACTTTATTGAGTATTTTCCTTTATTGAATTCTCCGATTAATGATGGTCTCCTGTTGCTCATTACTGTTTCTTTTAATTGTACTTTATTTTGCCAATACCTTCCTTTTGTTTCCTATTTGAAATTGTTTTTCTGTTTTCATAATGTCAATATAATGTTATGCTTGAACTCTTCTTAATTTTTTTTTTTCTGGATTTTGAGAGATTTGTCCATAACTGTTCTCTATTTTTTTGATGGCGTTATGCAAAGAATTTTTCTGTCTTCCAATTATCAAAGTAACTGCATTGCTGCAGTGTGGAATACTATACCTACGTTAGTCTATGAATGCTTCCACCTTGCTGTCTGTATGATTGTTCTTCTGTTTATTACTTGTTGCTCTTGTGTGTTTCCTTCCTCTTTACTTTTCTTCCTTATATATTTATATTTGTTTTCCTGCTGCTGTCACTGCGTTGGCTGTATATTCTTCTTTAGATGACCTACACGCATAAAGGAATTTAAGACACTAAAAGTGCCGTTTCACATTCGACTTAGCTGGATGTAGTTTGGGCTGCTACTAAAGAGGTTTTCTCCCTCCCACCAGACACAAGCTGGTGTGGCGCTGCTTCTTGTATCAGGTCGAGCAGCTAAGCAGCAACTGCATAAGGAATGGTTTCAGCTTAGTGAACCAGCCTTCTGGAGAGCTATGAGGGTGGGAACACAGGAGGAGTTGCCACATCAACAGCTGCATGGTCCAGTGTGAGGGAAGTGCACAGTGCTTTCCTGCATTTCCTTCTGTTTAGATCTAAAGTGAATCAATATCCAAAATAATTCCCGTCCTTTTGAATATGGGGAATGTCATCATTCCATCTGGGACTTCTGAAAGCGTCTGTGCCTCCAGAGTAAGGTTAGCTAGCTCCCCTTTGGTTACGTTTCTTTTTTGCTCTTGATGTCCTTGAGCAAGTGGCAATGATTGGGGGTTTTAGATATCTTCTGTAAACATGCCCTGAGAGCTGGATACTCAAATGACTTAATTGGTTTCATCTATAATTAGTTTCAGTCTATAATCTTGAAACATTAATGGCAAGAGTTGATGCACCATTTCGTTGGTTTCCTTCCCCCCACCCCCTCCAAATTCACTGAAATTTCTTGGAAATATTCCATGCCCTGGTGTTTGAGAATGAAGTGTTCCACTGAGTTCAGAGAACTGTCCCTCTGTAAACTTAATTTGCAGATGTTCATGCTTGCTTTTCCTCTTCAGTGTTGCAGTGGGCAGGAGGTAGTATACGCACCTGGGAGATATCCAGGGAATAGTTGGCACAGTAACTCTGGGCCCAGATTTTTTGTGAGGAAGGAGAGGGAGACTACTTGAGGCTAAAAGATTCATCTGGGATACTCAACAGGCTCTTGGCTTCCACAGAGAGGCCAGATAGAGGTTATGAAGCACAGGCTTGGAGGCTCCACTCACACATACCTGTTAGCTTCTGAGCCACACACTGCAGCCCCTGACAGCAATGTTGCATATGAAATTACCTGGATAAAACTTGTGAAGTTTCTTAGGGGTTGCAGAGGCAGCAGGCAGAATGGTTTTCTCAGTAACAGTATTTGGGAAAAGGCAAAACAGCACAGAGGACCATGAAAGAGATGCACAGAGTAACCATGCTTTCCCAAAAGGGATGGTGAACCAAAGATCTCTTGGAAGTGAGTGGGTAAATCAGACGAGCAGTAAGGACTGAAGGAGGCATTGGGAAAGGGGATATTGCATATATGAAGGGGAAAGATTGGGAAAGTTTTAATTAATATTCCCATTACACTTATCCCACTGGAAAAAGGCAATAATATTTAAACACTTTTTCCCCCTCTCTTAAGTAAAGGTGGATTTTGCCATACCCTCAAAGTGCTGCTTTTTTTGTCGCCACTGTCCATTCTGCCAAGAATTGGGGATCAACTGCTCATTAAAGAAGTTGCAGTCTTCTTTTAATGTTGTGGGCTACTGAAAAATTTAGAGACACTGAATTAAGCTCTTTCTCTTGCTTTATTTTATGCAACTGGATGATACTCTGTCCAGAAAAACAGTTGCAAGGAGCTGGAAGTTTTGAGGCTTAGTCTTGCTTTGTAAGCGTTTTTGTTATTTTATGTAACATCTGTTTTCATGGTTATTTTGTCTTCATCCAGTAAGCGTGCTTCATAGGAAATTTGGCCTTGTAGGAGTTCAGATGTACTCTCGGAGACTACTGGGAATTTGTAATGTCATAGTGATTGTATCAGAGTTTCTGTATTTTGTAACTGGAGAAAACTTACAGCACTTAAAGAACTGCAGCAAGTTTAAACTTCGAAGGAGACCGTGGATTAACATCAGAATCTTCAGAGGAAGGTGCTAATATTCTGTCAGTAGATTTAAGTTTCTTCTTGAAAATGCACTGTATTTACAATTTGGGATCTATTGGTTTTTTGGCTACTGCAAACCGCTTCTTTGTGGTGCATATTTTGATCTTTGAGGTTTCTCTATTTTTACATTCATTTCATTTTGTAGTTTAAGTATGATGCTGGTTAAAAAGCACTACATGATTTTACAAAATGTTGGGGAACTACCAGTAAATTTTTGAGGAGAGCAATTAGATATAGCGAAGGGGTGATCATTGTAAGCAGGAGTCGAAACTGGAACTAGATTCATGGTGCTGGCACTGACTGAGGTCTTGGAATTAAAAGAACAAAACCACCCCCCAAAGTATTAAAATCAATGAATATAATGTTGGCAGCTGTTCCTTCAGATTCCGATGTTTAGGCAGTAGATGCCCTTTATTATGTTGGTGATAGGTCTGTGGGAGACTACTGCTCTTGCTTGTTTATTTTTGAAGATAAAGGTGAGCAGCAGGGAGTGGAGGAGGGGGATAGGAGGGGTGATACTTTTAAAAGTTGTGCTACTTCCCAGTCACATGAAGGGGGGTTAGAATATTAATTTGGAGCACCAATAAACTTTTAAATATACCATTCCCTTGGTGGCCACTGTAGCCAGTATATGGAAGTTAGTGCTTTGGGGCAAAATCCCTTGTGGTGGAATTGGATATTGCACGTTGGTTTCCAGATGGATTTGTATTGCAATGGGGAGACCAAAACTGGACAGAGGACTCCGGGGTGGTCTTACATGTCCAGACAGAGAAGGAGAATTACTTTGCTGGATCTGCTGGTGACGCTCTTGCTGATAGAGGGTAGGGTGCTGTTGGCAGCCTTTGCTACCAGGGCACACTGCTGACTTGTGTTCATCTTGCTGCCCACCAGGACCCCTGGGTCCCTTTCAGTAGAGCTACTTCCTGGAGACTTGGCTCCCATACTGTATTGTGGCCCAGGGTTATTCTACCCCAGACGCAAGCCTATACTTGGTTTTGATGAACTTCATGAAGTGCCTCTCAAGCCATTTCTCTAGCCTGTCAATGTCCCTCTGAACAGTAGCTCTTCCCCTCCAGCGTATTGAGCACTCACCCCAGTTTGGTATTCTGCGCATGCTTACTGAGAGTGTATTCTGTCTCATTGCTCAGGTTGTTAATGAAGACATTAAACAGCATCAGTCCCCATATTCATCATGTATCTCTGCATCCAGCAATCCAGTCAATTTTTTCATTTACCTTATCATCTACTTATCCAGCCCATATCTCACCAATTTTGTGACAAGGAGACTGTGGGATATTGTGTAAAAAGGCCTTGCTAAAGGCAAGGTGCACAGCATCTAAGCCGCCCTCTTTGTCCTCAACATCAGTCACCTCATCAGAGAAAGCAATTGGGTTGGTCAGACACGATTTGCACTTGGTAAATCCATTTTGGTTGTTCGCAGCCTTCTTGGGAATGAGGTGAGGCTGACTGGCATGTATTTTCCTTCCTTGCTGGCCTGGACCTTCCTTCCTGCAGATC